TTCACGGCTCCTTTAAGCGTCATTTCCGCCCCCCTGAACGTTCTTTACGCTTTCTGTAAGTTTCTACCCTTCTTTCGAGTTTTCTTTACGGTCCTTCAAACAGTTCTTCCGCGTCCTTCGAACTTCTTCACGTCATCTCCAAATAACTAACGGCTCTTCAATCCTTCTCGGTTCTCTTTTTGCTTTCTCAATGCCTCCTTCGTGCTCGTGCATACTTTCTCCTTGCGCTCTCAACTTGTTCTTCTTGTCTTTTCGACGTCACGTTCTCGATGCTTTCACATCGCTTTCTTTGAGTCTACTTCGAGTCATTCATAACCCTCCTTGAAATCTAATCTACGCTTTTAAATAATCATCTAGACTTTCCGCTTCTTTTGGGCTTTCGTCATGCTTTTTTCGACGCCGTCACCTTCAAACCTTTCTCCGCATTCTTTTCACTTTCTTCGAGCTTTTTTCTTGCTTTCTCGACGCCTCTACTTCGAGTATTCTAGGCGCCTCCTTCTTGTCCTCTCAACGCCTGCTTGACACCTCTTGTCTTCTCGATGCTGTCTCCTTGCTCTCTCGCCTTCCTTCGACCGTTCTTCGCGTCTTCTTTACGCCTATTTCGAACAGTCTTCACTCTGTACCTTTTTACTACCAGCACGTTAGTATTTGGGTAAGAAATGACGCCCACTTTCTGACGAAAATACACGTTTTGAAGCACCAGGAATCCGTATCAAACAAAACCACGATGATGTCGGTCTGCAGGACAAAAAATTTGCTGTGGTTAGCACAGATACCACCCCCACGCCCGCAAGACACCAGCGCATGTGCGATGTATATTCTATCTAAGAATATGAGTACCAAATTTGGTTCCAATCGGTTCAGCCGGAAATGAAATTTTGACACACTTGCGCATGCGCGTTTCTGCCTAATAGCCTAACATTTACTGGGCTAGGACAGGGTCGAGAGAAGGGTGACGGAGATCAAACGGTCGTATTTCGTAATTATCGATGCGATCCATTCCATAGAAACGACGCCGACGGAAGGACTCAAGCTTGCTATTTTTATTATTATTGTCGGTGTTTCTTGTGAGAACTCAGGTCTAGCCTGGTTAACTAATCGCACGGATTAAAATCAAGTAACGATTAGTGTCTGTGTCTGGTGAAGTTATGTAGGGTTCTAAAGAAAAATAAAAATAAAATAAATATTCACACACTCACATTGGAAATCTAGAGATAGTATGTAATTCATACTTACCAACATAGCTATTAATGGCCCCAATAGTCAACGCTATCAGGAAAGAAGAAAACAAAACAAAAATATCATTATAATAATTCCTGTAATTTTATTAAATAGAGTTTATTGTGTAAGTGTTTCTTTGGCTTTGCGTTTGGGTTGAATACGAGTGGGTTGTGATAACGTGGTGTGTTTATGTGAAGAAGGAGTTTTGTGTTTTTTATTATTATTATTATTATTATATTTAAATGATAATAGCATGAGGCAAGCCTATTTATGCTATTTTGTTTAAGCTAAATTCTATCGGTTACGAACGTACAATTAGTTAACAATATTAATCTTTTCTAAATTCTTGTTATCAAGACGATTCTTAAATTGGTAGGTACACATTTATCTTCGACGTCCTAAATTCAAAACTTATGTGTTATTATGATATATGTATATGGATTCTGTAATAAAATAAACAAAAAAAAAGAGAAACTAAGGTCAATTCACTCGTGGCGTAACCACTCATGAAACATCCCTTTCTCGTCTTCTATATAAATACGAGTAACTATTAATTACATAATTTATTTATCTATAATTAAGTTATTAAATAAATTTATAACGGTCCATAAGTAGATTGATTTATAACAATTATTATTTATCAATTATCACTTACCTACTTGTACTTTCAAATTTACAACACAAGCGCGAATTTCACAATTTATCACTTCGGGATCGATGTTGGAACAACTATTAAACACAATTCAGTTTACTTATACAGCAAACGATTCTAGAGTCAGCATATACATCCTGGAAAGAACACGTTACACCTGCTTTTATTCCTTATCGCCGATAACAATCCTTTATCGACTTTGTAACAAAGCACCCGTTTTCCACCCGAAGTTATGACCACATAGTATAGTTGTGAAGACGATCAGCTTTGCTGAACACCCGGTATTTAGATGCGTTTTCGTTACTAAGTAGTTTCTGAATTTACTTATTTGCTCTAGAAGACGACGAGTGAGCTTTTGTGTGTTTTCGTTTTGTTTAATTGTTTGTTTTACCGCCGATAACACACGTAAGTGAAGTAGTGAATTTATCAGTTTTACAACTGTTCCTGTAGGGAGCCACCGAGAGCTCTCTTGTCATAGAAAAAGAGGGCAAATTAATACTTTCGAATTTCAGACATGTACGCCATTATTAGCAGATTTTGTTTTCTATGGTAAATTGAAAGCGAGCAAGGCAATGCAATTATCAGCCAGATAGCGACCACCACATTGATCCTGCGAATTCCAATTAGCAATGGTTGTTAATTGGAATACTGTATCTGGAAATTGGATTGGGGCGTCCTTAGTTCCAAATTAAGCGCGCTTAATTAAGAAAACGACACGCCGACCGATTTGGAATTTCCTAGGTTTCCTCTCTGCAAGAGCCGAATTTTGGATAAGGTAAAGCCGGTGTTTAGGGGGGATTTTTCCCCCTTGCACTTCCGCCAGTTACATTTCATTGCATCCGTACAGTTTCATTTTTGCTTTTACACTAAGTTACCGCACCTTATTGATTGCAGTTGGCTTTTAACGATTTTTTTGCTACCGCTCCGTTAATTTAATAATAATAATAATAATCATGTCGTTTATTAAATCACGCTAATCATATAAGGTAACAAGAATATCTTAATAATAATATGTACAAGTGCGCAATTTAAAAGGGCGAAGTTCAGGTGCTAACGGGAAATCTTCCACTTAACCCTTTGCATTGTAGAAATTAAATTAAATTATACGTGAAGTTAATTATGTGAATATAAAAAAAGAAAAGAATTTACAATTATAACTAGTATAAGCGTGCTTGCTTATATAGTGTTGACCATTATTATCTTGAATTTGTACAAAATTGGATCTTGTCAAATAGATATGCAGGTTCTTTACTTACAACTATTTTGTGAAATAGTACAGATGAGTGAAACATTCGTCTATTTGCCATATTTAACCAACCCAATGCCTCTAGCTTGTGATATATATGTTCGTACTTTCGAATTTCGAAAATTAAACGCATACAGGAGTTTCGTATTCTCTGTATACGCCGAATATCTACACTATCTATACAAGCTCCGTATATAACATCACAGTAGCTAAATTGTGAAAGAACTAAAGCCTCACGCAAAATTATTTTTATCCTTTTATTAAATATGTGCCTATTATCATATATGATCTTTAGATTGCTGAAAGCTCTTTGAACAATATGGGCTACATATGGGTTCTAAATCTTAGATCTACATCAATATGCAGACCTAAATTTTTGACACATGGCCTTGGGGAAAGTGTAACATCTTTCACAGTTATCTTAAATGTCATTAGCCACAGTGTTTCTGGCTTTAGTTCTTCCAAAAAGAATGGTTGATGACTTCAGAGGATTTATATACGCAAACCATGCTCTTCGGAGATCTTAACTAATCGTTCAACATCCTCATTTATACGCATATTTGCATTTATTGCATCACCTGAACTAAAATTATAATGCAGCTGAGTATCATCTGCATACTGATGGAACATAGTATGCTTGAGTGACTTACCAAAATTGTACGTAAGTATAAATAATGAAAAGCAATGGTTCCAGTATTGAACCTTGTGGTACTCCAGAGGTTAGTGTCGCCGCATTAGATGTTAGACCATTTAGACTTACCCGTTGCGATCTACCCGTCAAAAAATTTTCCAATAAGGTACAAGATTCATCATCAAATCCAACAAAACTAATAGAGAAAGGTTCCCCGAATCTAAAGCCTTAAAAATGTAATCGGTTAAATTTAACAAAGATGTCGTACAGCTATAACCTTGTCTAAAACCGGATTGTGTTGGTGGTAGAATATCAAAATGTTTCAGGCGAGGTTTTATTTGCTCCGCCATAATTTTCTCCAAGACTTTTGATAGTACAGGCAGAATACTTATTGGCCGAAGGTCAGTATATGATTGTGGTTGGTTGACTTTTAGGCAGGGGTATTACCTTGGCACTTTTCCAGACCTTGGGAAAAACGTTATTCTTTAAGCAAAAGTTTATTATGAAAGTGATATGAGGTAATATTACGGAACTACATAGGATTATCATTTCAAGGTAAGCTTTGTTACTTTCCGTTTCCCTAATTCTAGGGAGGGGGGGATTGTTCGCTTTCCCGCATTTGCTTTTGTTCTATTGCTCTCGTTCCCGCTAGTTTGCCGTAATTTTCCGAACTTTCTTGACCCGTCCGATTACTACAAACTGTTGTCCGTCCGCCCCTCTGTTTCGTTTGCCAAAAATGTTTACAGGGCAATGACTTGACCAAACAAGAACTGAATACACAAACACACTTGAAAAAAATGAGGGGTAAAGGAAATCGAGTAAATGTAGGATACAAAGGAGATAAACACAAAACATTCAAACGAACAATAAGAAAGAACATGTTAACAACATCACTTGATCAGCAATGAAAAAAGTAACAAAAGGAGGGAGAATGTAAGTTAAAAAAAACAGTTAAATAGCATAGGAAAGAAAAGTTCCATACAAAATACAACAGGCAATGAATCCAAAAGGCCAGAACAAGAATGAAGTTGAAGATAGCTACGTGAATGAACAAAGTATAAATGGCAAAGAGCAAGAACAGGGTTTGAAAAAGAAAGTTTTGAAAGAAAAATTCAGACAGATTCAAAATATGTCCAAAAACTAAAAGAACTCTATAAAAGAGCTTGAATAACTCTTCGAATGCAATATAATTTCATGTATTTCTTTGTTTTAGTATTGAAATGGGGAGGATGGCGAATTGAAATGATCTGTAACAGTATATAAATAATTTATTTGTGTAAAAATATTAATCAGAGATAGCTATTCATTAGTATAGACTTTTAGTAAATCCAAGTACAGTTGCCGTTGTTCACTGGTATAGCTTTCAACGTGCATGTAACGCAAGTGCGTCGCCGCCGATAATAAAACTGCCGACCTCTCCGGTAGTAGCCTATCTAACACTTTGTGCATTTGGTGCTGTAATAAGTCGAGGTACAGATAAGTGCTACTGTTGATCAACGCGAAGTCTTCAGGTCTTAGTAACGTCGTTAAATGGCCCAGTGTGAGGCATATCTGAAAACAGATCCATATCCATCCGCTGCTTAAGTAAAAGAACGTACCTGGTCCACCAAATGATCTTGGTGATTGTATTCGCTGAAGTCTTCTATATTCTGGGTGTTCTCCAAGGCTTTCAGCAGCGACTCCCACACAAACACGAAGTAATTCTGATACCCTTCTCTCGTATTAATACACGAGAGCGCTAACGCCGCGTTAATTCGCACCTTAAAATTGGGAAAACTCAAAATGAGATCGGCAAGCGAGCAAAACAACGAGTCCTTTCGTATGTAATCGTTGATCGGAAATTTCGCCAGTTTCAAAGCTCTGCCGACGGCGTAGCACGAGTTCCAACGCAACTTCATGTTGGTACCAGTCGTGCAACATCGTATCACCGCGTCCACTCCCTCCTCGACCGCCACTTTAAAATCGTCCTGCTTAATCGTCTCACCGTTCACCAGCTGGAGGAGATTTCCCAAGGCGCGAACGGCGTTTACTTTGATTTTATCGTTATCTTTGGAGGCCTGGATCGCGATCTGTAGCAGCTGCAGCAAGACGTGGTCGGGAATTTCCTCTTTGTTAGAATCTTCTTTGTTTAGGACTAGGGCGTCGCTTAAATTTCCCAGAGACCACGACGCTTTGATGCGCACCACCATTGAGCTGTCTTCGAGCATACGACGAATTACCAACGCAACATCAACGACAAAACCGGGGTCCTAAGGAAGCATGTATTTCGTTCAGTTAGAGTAAAAAAGGTTTGGAGAAACCACGTTGTTTTGTCTGCCACGGACTCGAGGAATTAATTAAAAACTACAGAATGAATGAGGATATTTTGAGATCTGACAATTGACAAACAATTTAGGAAAAGCAAATTTTTATATTAGCAAATATTTTTCCCAAGAATACGACCTTTCTGTAATGACGTTGGGCCCTAAGCTACGATCTGGCCTTCCTACCACCCTCCCGGTCTCCTCCCACCAGGTTTTCTAGTTATTGCCATTATACAGTTCCATACTGCCCCCCATTTGACGTTTTTCCCTAGTGATCGTTTGCGATTGGTTAGCGCCCCAAATACCTTCGCTTGCGCCAACGGCGTTTTTCAGTTACTCCAAATACTTCCATAGCGTCCGCCCAGTATTCCAAGTTGACGTGGAATTTTGCATTCGGAATAACTGAGGAACGGCGGGGGTGCAAACGAATGTGTTGAAGGCACAAACAAGCGCGAACCAAACGCAAACCATTTCTAGTAAAAAATTGAGAGGGACGGTAGGGAGTAATAACTGGAAAACGGCGTGACACAAATGAAGGTATTCGGGGCGCAAACGATCACTAGAAAAAAAGTGAAATTTTAAAACTTGGGGAGGGGGGCAGTAGGTATGGGATGTTGTATTTAGAATAATTGAAAAACGGCGGGGGCGTAAAGAAGTATTCGAGGCGCAAAGCAAATATGCGCAATCCGTCGCTCTGTGACAAAACATTTTTTTTTAATTGGGGGCAGTTATGAATCCCCCCCCCCCC